TCTAAATTGTTGACGCCATTGATGTGATAGTGGGCAACCGTTTGTCCACGGAATTCCAACTTCAATAAAATAATAATAATCATTGCGATTATAATAATGATAACAACGATATATAATGAAGGAAAAATCGAGGGTGGGACTTGAAACTATGCGTTGAATTATGATCATGTTCTTGATCTTAGTTTGGGACCCAAATGGATGTCTTGTTTCCACAATTTGTCGTGTTGGATCATCTTCCTTCAGCCCTCCCCAAAAAGCCATCAATTACGTCAAGCTACTGTGGATTAATTGTTTAATTAATCGTTCTACTACAGTACGAGGATGTGATTTTCAACTTTTTTTCTTTTTAAATATTGCGCATAGGGTAGAATCCGGGATCGACTTTTGCATACTAAAATGATGCATGAAAGGAGTCGCATTGACCATTAGGCACGTCGGTGTGGATGAGATCTTTTCTCCAGAGAACTCTTACCCTCGTGGAAGGATTAGGGTCACGCAAAGAGAGCTCTGAAAGTGGGATGATATAGAGAGGGCATGAGAGGAGGAGCGAGTGACTCTAGTACGGCTCGAATGGCTGGTGGCACTCTAAGAGTGTTGAGTCACCAGAAGTCGAGAGAGTAGTGAGTTTTGGAGTTCACAATGATTCGATCCGCATAAGATCTAAACTCCGAAAATGCTGAATTTTAGAAGTGTCGATGCCTAGACATCCAAAAAGTGTTAGAGATCTAGAAGTCCAAAAGCATAGAGATCCATAAGTCCAACAATTCCAGAATGAATTAATTAACCCGTTTCCTTTTGACACGCAGTAAGCCATCATTTGTCTGCGTCCTCATGACACGCGACAAGCGATCTGCTGCAATTTCTATAACACTGAATGCCGCACAGTACCATTCTGCATATTAACCACCCTTATTTTATGTAGATTTTACAATAGATCTACTAGACCATGACAAGTTCAGAGCGCTCCTGATGGGAGATTACTCTCTCATACTCTCGTTTAAAGAGATTGAGTCGAGTAAAAATCGCTAAAGTCAGCTTAAGATATTTGACGTGAGACCAAATTCAAGTAGTTTTGGCAAAAAAAAATTGTAATTGTAGTTCATATCTCTTTGCAAAACCATATTAGGGTCTCGTTTGGTGACCTAACAAAAATCGAAGACAGATTCATCGTCCCAAATGATAGAAAGCACTTTCTAGCGTGTAGATTTTTATTATTTCTTTCTTACCTTTCTTCTAGACTTTTTTAGCATGATTTTAGCTTTATTTTTTTATCCCCATTGGACCAAGTGCTCTCGGGTTTCACTCGATCTCTAGGTGGAATCGAGTTTTTCTAAGTATAAGGTGGGGTCAACTCCTATTACATATTGGGTTTGAAGTCTGTCAATCTTTGTAGAATCCAATGTCACAATTATCAATCTCTTTATTGAATCCTTCCTAATTCTATACGGATTTCACAGTTGCTCCAATGTTACAAATATATTTGTTTACCCGAAATCAATATGAGACTTGCTTTTAAAAAATATTACCAATTTACTCACTTAGAAAATGGATCTCTAGCAACCCGAAGAGCTCCAATTTTTTTTTTGGAATATTGTGACTAATTTTTTTTTATGACATTTGGTGTCTATGCCTCTTAGAGTACTAGTCAATCTGGTCGAATCATGACAGTCCTCCCGTCCCATCATAAAACGTGTCTATTTTGCTAAATTCAATCCTACACTTTTCAAATTAACCAATTTTAGTTCTAAATCTTTAGATGGTTTGCCAATATAGTCATTCCGACCAAATTTTTATCCTTTTATTTATTTTCGTTTTCTTTTTTCCTACTTCCCACTGCCAGTCTGCGACCTTAGTGATGGCTAGCGGAGGTTGCCGGCCAAAGACGAGGGCTCGGAAGCTCTTGCCGAATCTGGGTGAGGGCCACGATGCCCTCGTCGGATCTGTGGCGATATGAGGGTTCGCAAGCCCTCACCGTGGTCAATAGAGGCGAGGCTATGGATCGACAAAGGGACATAGGGAAAAAAGAGAAAAAAAAAACGGAAAGAAAGGAAAAAAAAAGGAAGAAAAGAAAAGCATAAGAAAATTCAGAAAATTTGTTTAAAAATTTAAAATGTCCATGTTAGCACCAAATGTGTTACGTACGATGGCCGGCGTCCACATGAGTGATTGTCGACTAAAATTGGCTCTAATGACTACCTTGGCAAATCATTAAAAGATTTAGAATTAAATTGGCAAAATTAAATTATTTAAGACTTAATTGGCATTTGTACAATAGGTTTGGGATTTTTTTGGTAATTTTCTTCCGATTTATTCCTACTAGTGACCATGAAACATCTTTTATATGACTCCTCCTTGTCCCTTTATTCGCTGAAAAAAAAAAAAACATCATCAGCTCGTTCATCAATGATCCGGTGTTATGGTTCTTCATCAATGAAACTAAGTAGAATCTAAGAATTATGTTTTCCCCCAAATTTGGTGCATATATACACACATTCATGCATGTTGCAAATTCATATGCGCATTTAATTAAATCATCTAGAAGACAAGTGTTAGACCCTTGAAGAGGAGGCATCGTTTGTATGACAACTTTTTAATTGAAGAACCGCATGAATTTCATTGTTGCATGCTCCAAATATAACAAATCCAATCAACTCTCAAAGGTTCAGGACTACATTAGAATTTCATGGCAAATGTTTATGACTATATTGGAGAAATTAAAAAATTTAGGATTGAATTGTCATCTGCACAATAGGTTTAGCACTAAATTGGTAGTTTATCTGGCTAAACTCCATATAGTCCCCGAAATCATAAGAGCATATAAATATATGTGGTTGAGATACATTCACAAGCGATATGCCGTGATCTCGAGATAAGTAAATATGATCGGGAAGATCGCAATCCCAAAGAAAACACGATTAAAGTTCCTTCACGACTTTTCATATGTCAATTATTTAACAAGTGCAAACTACAGAAATTCAAAACTATACCTAATGACAATGTGGAAAGCTTCTTTCATTACTTGATGACTGCATGCTGGTACAATTTAAGAAATTAAGGAAAGAAGTCTCGTGGAAGCTGCGTTTGATATCTTGTGGGAGGTCCGCTCACGTCGGTACAGGATTGAGCCATTCCAACAACGTGCGTAAGCCAGGAACAATTCAACCAACTCATTTTCTTTGCTTTATAGTACTCTTTTGACTCTCTTCTTCATCCATTACGTGTACCATACCAGGATCATCATCCATTACGCAAGACGAATTCTTCTGGAAGTTGAACTTGGTCTATGTACCTTTGATCAGTTATTTGGGTGAGGTTTATCCCGATGTCAACTGCCGCGGACGACGTCGCCGGACTTAGGCAACACTACCTCTGGCCAGCCAATGTTGGCAATGCCAAATCTTGGCTTGATGAGGTCGGATCCGAGGTTTGAAGGGCTCCATGGCTCGGGATGGCGTTTGGGTCTTTGAGGCTAGCCGACGATGACAACGGGGCGACGACAACATAGCGACGAAAGGGAGTAGATGCTGTGGCGCTATGTGGTAGAGCTCGTGGAAGACTGTTTGTGTGGACGACAACATAGCAACAAAAAATGATAGTGTGTACCTGAGCACTACGTGCGCAATCGGTGCTCTAATAAACAAGTGAAACCTAGCGAGAAGTAGCTAATTCTTGTCCTAACTTTATTTAGAGCGGTCAAGTGGGAAAACAGGATTAACTTGTGCATTAAATTTGTACAATTCGCAGTGGAAGCAAAACCCATATTTCAAACAGCAATCAAATTACTAGCACCAAGAACACATGCGATACATCTATGTTACTCGCCGGATCAAGCCTAATTCATGAGAGCAGACAACAAATGTACTAAGAAACCACAAAAAAAAAAAAAAAGCAAGGACGTTGTAATGTCATCTTCCAAGACCTAGGTACGAAGCACATCCTGTCCCACGACTCGCAAAATGAAGTCCAAATTTCGCCTAGGTGTTTCATTGTTTAAAATCTAATTTATTGAGAAGAAACAACCAATAAATGTCGGACGCACAACTTGTATGAACGTCTGATGACCAATACGAAGATGCCTTACAGTTCAACACATCATCAAGCACTATCGCTCTTGACCAAATTTGAACTCTTTTTGTTTTTCCCGGGGGCTTCTCATGCTCAAATCTGAGTTATTTAAACCCCACGTTGATGCCGTCGATTGGACCGCACAAGATTATCAGCTTATGAGATGAAAGTTACTCGTTGAAATCCCACAAACTCATGCAAATTGCTCGAGTTAGGGCCACTTACACAAGCTAAATGTTTAGATATAGCTATTCTGTGGCGACTTACATGTTGTTCCATGAGCCTTCAAGTAATCGGGTTTTTGCGCTTGTATCACTAAAATATAAAAAAGACAAATTCGACTTATTTTGTGGTTGCCAAACTTGACAGGCGTTCGACCAAAAAAAAAAAACTCGAAAGACGGGCTATCAATCAATTATGATTAGCAATTCATGTTCGCGTATTGGTGTTTTATAATCATGTCAAGTAGTGACATGAAAAAAATGCCTATCTTAATTATGTTGTAAAATTTATGTACGTTAAATTCACGTCGGTTTTTCAAATATTATCCTACTAACTATGCATGGTTTGGTGAAATTTATTCATACCAAATCCAAGGGAACCCTAAATTAGAGAGAGAAAGAGAGAGGGAGAGAGAGAGAGATACACAGAGTCAATGTGGGATGGCGATAGTGCGTATAACCCGATCCTTGGAATAACAAGACAAGAGGGAAAGACCCTTGGACCTGTTCTCAGCAATTTTCAAAATACCCACCATTATTATAATCATAAAGCTTCCTCTTTCTTCTTTTCTAATCCCTACTTTTTGAAATCCCGTTGCCCAACTCCATGTCTTTCCTTCTCCAGCCATTATTGTCTCTCCTCTTTCTTCTCTTTTCTGTGTATATATATTAGCATTATCATCATCACCCAATTGACATCTACCCCTCAAGAAAGAGAAAGAGAACTCCAATCAGACTTCGAGATCACCATAACAGTTCGAGACGCGGAAAAGCATGGGCAGAGCTCCTTGCTGTGACAAAGCCAATGTCAAGAAAGGCCCTTGGTCTCCCGAGGAAGATGCCAGGCTCAAGGCATATATCGAGCAGCACGGCACCGGCGGCAACTGGATCGCCTTGCCACAGAAGATCGGTATGTCCCACGCTTCTAGGCAGAGCGGGTTCTCTTTTTTCGCTTCAACTTTGTTCTTGATGAACTGAGTCGAGAGTCGTTTAGTTGAGTTTAGAAAACGATTCTTAATTCTTCAAATTGCTCGTGTTATTAATATAGGCCTCAAGAGGTGTGGTAAGAGCTGTCGGCTTCGTTGGCTCAATTATCTCCGGCCGAACATCAAGCACGGTGCCTTCTCCGAGGAAGAAGAGAACATAATATGTAGTCTCTATGTCACCATTGGAAGCAGGTAATCTATTCAGCTTCTTCCTCTAAATCTTTGTCAAAAAAATCCTGAGATAATCGGACTCGTTGTCCCTCTATCCGTCAAATTTCGCCTTTTCAAAGCAAGTGCTTACTTTCTCTCTCGCTCAATGCTCATGTAGGTGGTCCATCATTGCTGCGCAATTACAAGGGAGGACCGATAACGACATCAAGAACTATTGGAACACGAGGCTCAAGAAGAAGCTCTTTGGCCGGCAGCCAAGGGAGCGCAGCACTGGACGGATCACGAATGGTTTGAAGCAAGAAGCTACAAAGAGAGATCAGAAGGAAAGTTCAATGGTGAATGGTGCCGGAACCGGGACCATCAATTACAACCAGTACTGGTCGCAGCCACCAGACTTCGCTAGTCCATCAACTCTCCAGGAAATTCCCAACATCCCTCATCACAGATCACCGAGTGATCTGCTTACTTATGTCGGAGGACAATTCTCTGAAGACCACCTGAGATCGGTCTTTAGCACTTTCGGCGATTTCCAAAACCCTATGCACATTCCCCCTCCTCCTCCTCCTTCACTTAGTGGTGACATGTTCACAGAACCCTCGAGCAACATACTTGCTTCTTTCCAATCTGTGAACTCCATAAGCTGTGACACTTCTCAGTTATCGAACACCCACTTCATCAGTGCCATCCAACAGGCAGTTCCGAATGCGTGGACCGAGCTTCAATATTTCGCGAATGACAACGTTGGCAAAGATGAAGCAGTCTATAGCAACCAACAGAGCTCAGATGTGCTGTTGGAAGCTTTCTGCGGCAATTGTAGCAGTCAAGCGAGCAGCACTCCAGAGAGCAGCTACAGTTGGAATGACATGAGCTCTTTAGTCGATCCTTCGACGGTCTCTGAGTATGAGGCTTGTCGAACAGTGATTCAGCAAGATTGCTCCGTGCCTTTCAGGGAATTGATGTACTTTGTGCAGCGGTAACACACTTAAATCGGATGCGATCTGAGAAAGTTCACCTAGCTAGAGAATTTTGTCACTGCCATTTTTATAGCAAAACCTAGTTGCCTGTTGTTGATCATGCTGATGTTCATCTCTCACATAGCTTTTCTCGAACTAATATCAGTTTTTCACTTCCTCTTTCTTCTCTGTCGCCTTTCTGGAATTAGCTAATTCTGAATGGAATAATTGCTCATGGTTTATGCATAGTGGGAAACTCTTAAGAATCAATCTCACTCAATATAACCAAATCATCTCTTTGACGTTACTCGTTCAATAGCCGAGCGATAAACTCAGGCGATCGAGATACGAGACACGCGGGGGAGACTTCAATTTGTTTTTTTTTTTACTGATTCAATTATATAAGGAAAAACCTAAACAATAAACCGTCCTTGAAAGTGGTCAATACAAATAACTTCCTTGTGCACTTGGTCACTTCTTTAGCATATGCAGGTTTGAAGCTGCAGACAGACATATGCTTAGATGTAAGTCATGTTGATCATAAATAGTATAGAACATCTGGTGATATTGTTATGTCTCTTCTTTGCCAAACTGTAGCTAAAAAAGCAAGGCTGGATTAAAGTTGGAAAGGTGCTTTGACGTTTTGGATCCAACTTGCTTGGCTCTATACCCTTTGGGGCTCTCTAGAATGGTCAGTATCTCACTGTCCGCACGCAACCACACCAGAGTAGTCCGAGCAAGTGTAGGTAACTCCCCGAATGAAGTGACCCTCCATTTGTTTCACGCAAATCGACCATTTTTAGACCGCCTCGACCCAGATGTCGGGCTCTTGGATCAGACCCATCGAACCAACATCCAAGCATCGAGGACTCAGGCTTGGCTCCAAGAGACCGACCGTCAAGGACCGGGGTCTGAGTGTCAAGGAATTAAGTCCGGACCGGGATCAACACTTGGAAAAGATTTTCATTTGGTTATAATAAGATTTTTTGTTGACTCATTTTTCTAAAATGATTCAAACCGTCAAAAATGACGAAAACATTTTGTGACGATTAATCTTTCGCCAGAACAAAACTTACAAGTAACCGCAATGATCAAATTTCAATCCTAGATCCACCCAATTTTTTTAAAAAAAGGTCAATTAAGATCAAGGAATAATCGTGGAGCGCAAAAGACATGTGCGATCAAGAGAGCTAAAAATATTTCCACAGACATATTGTAAGAAAAGAAGGAAGAAAAAAAACAGCCAATTGGACATGAATAATGAATTGTCCTATGGATTGTCTGGCTTCTGAGTATAATTTATGTGCAGTGGGATTCTTTGTGGAATATGTCAGATCAGCTTTTCTAGTTGTGGACGTCGTGTTCACTTTAGTCTTTTGGTTCCCCTAAATTTTGTTATATGGGATGAAATAAAAACATGCCTTGTATTTTTTTTGGTTCATTTTGTTCGATTTTCTTTTCCAAAAGGGACTTTGAGAATACATGTCGAATAGGTAAATTACATCAAAAGTTTTGATCGTTCGATGTGAATTATGTGCAATTAAGTAATGATCGCGATGTAGGTGGCATCCTTTTTGCACCAAAATTGAGTACGATTTGGACCATAATCATATGAAAAACATGTGGCTTTTAACTATTGTTGATTGTATGACTTGTTCATGTGAATTAGTTATAGGGCTCCAATTTGATATAAATCGAGCAATGGAAAAACCGCTATTGAATGTTCAATTTCGTATTTTATAATCTTTTCGTTGATTGGATGAGAATTAGAATTTTGCTAGTCTTTTGAAACCTAGTTTTACTACTTGAAGTTTGCTGGTATTTGTTATTTTGTGGAAATCAAACGCATGGATCTTATTATTCTAATGAATTTCCGTTTAAATGACTAATTGACTTTCTAATGGTACAAATTGAGATCGAAGATCAAGTACTACGTTTTTAATTTAGATTAGATTTCCACTTGCTTTGGCATAAAATTTAAGTGTTAATTTCAATTTATAGTCATAATTTATCTATACAATCCATGATCGACAAAACTGACATGCTTAATAATTGTTCAAACTAATGCTTAATTAACTCGCCAGGGTTGACGCAGTTGGTTGGAATGTTGGGAAATTTCCAACAGGAAAATTATCCAAAAAATCATAAACCTATTGTATGACAGCCAATTCAGTCTTAAACCTTTCAATTGTGTCAATTTAGTCCTAAATCTTTTGATGATTTGCCAATTTAATCATAAACATTTTAATTGTGCCAATTTAGTCCTAACATTTTGATGATTTATCAATTTAGTCTTGAACATTTTGACGATTTGTCAATGTAGTCTTTCCAACCCATTATCCAAATAATCGGTTTAGGACTAAATTAACAAATCTTCAAAAAGTTTATGACTAAATTGGTAAATCGTAAAAAAGTTTAAGACTAAATTGGCACAATTGAAAGGATTAGGACTGAATTGGCCGCCGTACAATAGGTTTAGGACTTGTTGGACAATTATCCTGATTTCTAGATCAAGAACTAAATTTTAGCTGTTTAAAACCAACTAATTACGTGCAAAGTGCTCTGGGTAAGGGCCTCCTACACTAGTCAATGGCCTGGACTTGTATAAGTCAAAGGTTTAGACTTCACAAGCTCATGAGATCTGCAAGTTATTTCATAGGCATCTAGGCAATCAGGTGTCAACAACCATGCACCTACGTATCCAAAAAAATAACGCTTAATTTCGCCAGAAACCCAAATAGTATGAAATTATGTCATCTGGATGCAACCCAATGAAATTAGGACTTGAATGCCCGGGTTTCAAATCATTTAAGATTTATTTACATTTTTTAAAAACGTATAGGACTCGATTGTACAACCTACAAAATGCTTTAACAATTTTGGTGTGATGTTCCCACATTAAATCATGTAAACTAACCTTCCCCAAAAATTGAGTTCTTTGCTTTGTTCTTGCTTTTGCGTTCATGGTGAACCTGTGTGACAATGAGGACTTCTAGCTGAAGACTTGACTAGTGTATCTCAACATCGCACGTGATGACCATTACCTTTTGCTGCACTTGCTTGTAATTTCTCCTGCGAGGTATGTTAATCCACCATCCACTAAGACTAAAAAGGACAAAAGGACAAAAGGAAAAAAAAATACAAAGACAACCACCAGCCACCGATCACTATTTACATATTTTATTTAGCAACTAATTGAAAGTATGAAAGCTCGTGTTGAGAGACTTCAAAATTTCTGACACATATGTGGGGTTATGATAACATACTCGTATATTAGGGTTGGATTAAGTTGCTACGGCTCAAACTTACTATTTCGTATTGGGTATGAAACTCTTATGATAATACTTATAGGAATCTGAGTTCATCGCTCCTCCCTCATCCTTTATTTTTTTTTATCGAGAAATCAAAAGTATGAAGAGCCTTATTTTCTCAATTCATTCTTTCATTAGTACCCGTCATCGGTATACAATGACAAAAATGCACTCAGTAAGCTAATTTTCTGCGTTCATATTTTGCTAAAACCCTCAGTTAGAAAAGTACTTGTGATCTATTAGTGCCCATTGCATTCATAAATACCCTAATCCAACATTCATTTCACTTAATAGTCGTTCCTATTTCCATGATTTTCTCTCTCAAACGGGAAAAAAACCCTAGAAAACATGTTGTCGCTCACCATTCACGTGCTCTCTAAATTCAACACCAATCTTTTTCGACACCGACATAATGAAGAAACGAACACGTTGATCTTCTCCCCCATTGGCTAATACCCATGAACATCTAGAAGCGCACTAAGGCTCCGTTCGTTTGGCGGAAAATATTCTCCTTTTGGAAAATATTTTCCCGGAAGTCATTTTCCTGGAAAATGTTTTTCCGGAACATAATTTTCCGGTGTTCGGCGACCAATATGAAAAAGTTTCGGAAAATATTTTTCACCGCGACCGGCGGGGGCGGTGGCGGCGGCCGGCGACAGGCGGCCAAGGCGGGCGGCGGCCGCGACCGGCGGTGGCGGCCGGCAACCGGCCGGCAATCGGGTAGCGGCGGGCGACCGGCGGCGGGCAGCCGGCGGCCAACGGTGGTGATCGGCGATCAACTTCCTCTCCCACGGAAAATATTTTCCCTCCCATGGGCAATTTTGCCTTCAATTTTGGGGAAAATGATTTCCTCTTTGTGAAAAGAGGAAATCATTTTCCTCAAAACAATGAAGGATTTGGAGGTGGGGAAGGAAAATGTTTTCCCACGGAAAACATTTTCCGCCCGAACACCGGAAAACGCGGAAAATATTTTCCGGAAAAATATTTTTCCGCAAACGAACACAGCCTTAGTAGTCTTTGTTGAAAGACTTTTAGGTTAAAAGCTATCCCATCTATCGTTTGGTAACGTAGATAATATGAGTCCCGTATAAGTTTAGATAAAATCTCCAATAACTTATCAGAACTAGAAGGGTGGGTTAATGTTATTGCAATAAAGTTAGTTAAAAAAAACTAGAAAAAAAGGAAATTGCAAGAAGTATTGCGGGATAGAGAGAGAGATGTTGTCACGTTGGTGTTCATTGTTCTCAAGCGATACCTCCAAGACGGTGGTTGCCCTAGATTGATGACCACCGCCGCCTGATCTCTCTCCTTCTCTTTCTCTCCTCGACTGGATTATGGGGGCTACGACCACCTTGCGACGGTCAGGGACCACGCACTATTGCGACCGCTGCATGGCGGTGGTTGTTGCCGCTCGCTTGCTTTCTCTACTCCTTGTCTCTCCTAATGGCCTACTTCACATATGTAATGATGGTTTCAAGTGTGACCACCATACCACAAAGGTCGCATAGTAGATCGAGGGTTTCTTGTGAGTTGTTTATTTTATCTACAACCCTATTTCCTATACCGGAATCATTGTTGGATATTTCTCAAACAATTGGCAAGATATATATATATATACGTGCACGCGATAAAGACGTTGTTGATTTTTTTAATCTCATCATATCATTCTCTATATATTTATTTTTATTGTGGCAATCAGACATGGTAGATGACGATCAGGAAAATTTTATTTTTTTCAATACAGAATCAATTTATGTTTTAATTGAACACTTGTTACGTACGACTTTAACTATAAAAAAATGGGAAAAGTGCCAAAAAAGTCCTAAACCTTTTGTATTAGTGCCAATTTAGTCATAAACCTT